GTGATAAGATAGCTGAATGGATGAAGAGATGAATGGATGGATGAAAAATTAATAATTAATAGATAATTAGAAAAATTGGATGAATATTGTTACGTGTGTGGCTGAGTGAACGCCCCCCCCCCCTCCCACCATCCCCCACCCTCTTCCCCATTCTCACTCTCCGCCCCCCCCCCTCCCTCTTTCCTCTCCCCTTCTGCACCCTATACCCTCTTACCTTCCCCCCCCCCCTTCCCTCCCCTACCCTCTCACGCCTCCCCACCCTCCTACCCTATTTCCCTTCCCGCTTCCCCGAATTCTCTTCTCTCCCCTATCCCCCCCCTTCTTTCCCCCCTTCTCCCCTCTCCCCCATCCCCACCCTCTTCCCCTCCCGCTCTCCACCCCCCTCCCCTTCTTTCTTCACCCCCCTCCCTCCCTCCCTCCCTCCCTCCCTCCCTCTCCCTCTCCTCTTCCTCACCCCCCCTCCCTCCCTCTCCCCCTCTTTCCTCACCCCCCTCGCTCCCTCTCCCTCTCTCTCCTCATCCCCCCTCCCTCCCTCTCCCCCTCTTTCCTCACCCCCCTCCCTCCCTCTCCCTCTCTCTCCTCACCCCCCTCCCTCCCTCCCTCTCCCCCACGCCGATGCCCTCCCTCCCTCTCCCTCTCTCTCCTCACCCCCTCCCTCCCTCTCCCCTCTTTCCTCACCCCCCTCCCTCCCTCTCCCTCTCTCTCCTCACCCCCCCTCCCTCCCTCCCTCTCTCCCACGCCGATGCCCTCCCCCCCTCCCACGATAAAGACAGAGAGGGAAAGGCACTCGGCGATAAGCATCCGGGTAATGAACCCACAGCTTCCCTCTAAGAAAGATAAAGTCTGGTTGTTACGTTTTCTTTCCCTTTCCCCTCGCCTCCCCTCGCCTCCCCTCTTTCGCTTTTTTTGCTACTTATTTTCCTCTTTTACTTCTTCCTATCTTTTGGTGTTTTCTCCTTTTCTTTTCTTTTTTCCTATGTTTTCTTCCTCATCTTCTTCCTTCTCTTCTTCCTCCTCCTCCATTTTCTCCTCATCTTTTTCTCCCTCTCCTTCTTTTCTTCCTTTTCTTCCTTCTCTTTCTTCTTTCCTCCGCCATCTCTCTTCCTTTTCTTCTCCTATTTTTCGTCTTCTTTTTTCCTCCACCTCCCTTCATTTTCTTCTCCTTTTCATCTTCTTCTTCCTCCTCCTCCTCTTTTCCTTTCTTCTTCTGTTCCACCCTCCTCCTCCCTTCCTCTTCTTCTTTCTTTTCCTTCTTCCTCTCTTACTTTGTCTCTGATCCTCCTTCCCCCATTCTTTCCCCTATACCCCCTATCCACCTTCTTCTTCTCCACCCCTTTCTTTTTTTCATATTCTTAACCTCCTCTCTTCTTTGAACCCCTTCTTCCTTTTCACTTCCTCCCATCCCCTCCCTTTCTTCCTTCTCCACCTTCTCCTCCTTCCTCGTCTTTCTCAAATTACTTTCTCTTTATCTTCTTCCTCTCCACCTCCCATCTCTCTCCTTCCCTTTTATCTCATCCATTTCTAGTCTCTCCTCCTCTACTTTCTACGCACTTAATTCTTCTGCTCTTTCTAAATTTCCCTCCTCTCCTACTAATCTCATTTCCTTTCTTCCCTTCCATCCTCCTTTTTTTTCTCTCACGTCTTCCCTTCTCCTTCTTCCTGACTCTTCTCCCAATTTTTTGCCCTTTTCTCCTCTCCCCTCTTCGTCACTCCTCTCCCCTCCCCCCTCCTCGTCTCTCCTCTCCCCTCTCCCTTCTCCGTCTTTCGTGTCTCCTCTCTCCTCTCCTCACCCTTCTCCCCTCTCCCCCCCCTCTCCCCTCTTCGTTTCTCCTCTCTCCTCTCTCCTTTCCCCTCTACCCTCCGTCCTCTCCCCTCTCCGTCTCTCGTCTCTCGTCTCTCCTCTCCCCTCCCCTCTCCCCTCTCCATCTCTCGTCTCTCCTCTCCCCTCTCCCCTCTCCCCTCTCCGTCTCTCCTCTCCCCTCTCCCCTCCCCTTCTCCCCTCTCCGTCTCCCTCACCCCCCGTGCCATTTCCCAGCCTTTCATAGATCTTCATTACTTCGGAAAGAGACGAAGTAAAACGGGGAAAGAGAGGGAGGGCAGGGGGGGGGGAGGAAGAGGAAGAGAAGGAGAGGAATAATGAGCGGAGAAAAGGATGAGAAAGGGAATGGGGAGAAGCGAAAAGGGGGGTAAGATAAAATGACTGAGGGAGAAGAGAGGGAAGGAGAGAATTATGTGAGGGAAACAAAGCGAGGGAAGAAGGAGGTAAAAGGGGAGAGGGAGAAATCTTGGTGAGAGGGGAGACAGATGAGAACGGAGAAAGGGAGATGGGGAAGAACAAAAGGAGAGAGAGGAGAGAGGGACAATACGGAGGAGGGAGGGGGGGAGGGTAACATGGAGAGAGTAGGGGGAAGACCTTAGGGAGGAAGGGGGGGGGGGAGAGAAAGGGGAATCACAGGGAGTGAGGGAGGGGGGGTGGGGGTTTAGAGAGGATACCAAATAA